CATGGACTCTCGCCCTCACCTCACCCCACGAGGCACACACAATAATGTGCCCATTGTATATATGCATGCACACCCATGCAGGCCCGTTGGTGCTCTCTTTTGCACGACACGCACCGCTGCCGTCCTGCCTGGCTGCGTGGGCGGAGCACCGTAACTGTTTCTGTTTTGTTTTTATTGCATTGAGTGGGCGAACTCTCTCTCTCTCCCTCTGTGTGTGTGTTTTGCTTTACGGGAGTAATGAGAGTGTGTGTGCGCTGGTCGTCCCACGCTTCGGCTTCTTGTTTTGTTTTCCTTTTTGATTTTGTGGTTGAGTGCACCCATTCCGCGGCTGCGTGTATGTGTGTGGGACGATATGAGTAATTAGCGTGTGTGCTATCTGCCTCTCTCTGCCGTTGCTTTCTTCAGACTCTCTTGTGCCGCACAGTTGCTCTGCAAGTATAGGCGCTGACAAACACTCAAATACACACACAGACAAGCCATGTTGCACACGTTGTGGAGCGGTGTGTACGCTGAAAAAGCACGCATGCAGGCTGCGGATGGCGATGGAGGGCACTGTGGAGCCCGGTGTGTTGGTGCTTGTAGCTGTCTTTGGCAACGCTCATATCCGCCGTGTGGGAATGGCCGGCGTGGTCGTGGGTAGTTGGAGGGAGTAACGGCGAACACGGTGACTTCCACGCAGTGAGTTCACAGTGACTCCTTGGCCAGTGGCATTGCGGGAAGGAACCGTCATGATAATTGCAACGCCGTCACGCTTGTTTTTGAGCACCGCAAGAAAGAGTAAAAATATATTTGTTTGCACGACTCTTTCCATCTCCGCCTCAGGGCTGCCCATTATAATGAGGTTACCGTGCGGTGGCGTTACCCCTATGAGCTCTCGGAATAGAAAGAGCGGACGCTGTGCGATGCTCCCGCACCTGTGACGGGCGCTGCGCAATTGGTGGCTGTTAAGTGGCCGGTCACACAATTGTTGCCACGCCGCGAGGAGAGCAGACGAAACACTCCGCGTGGAGGGAACGTTGCGGCCGATAAGGAATGTGTGCGACGGCGATGGACGCTCAGTC